GAGTGAGTGAGTGAGTGTGTGTGTGTGTGTGTGTGTGCATGTGTGTGAGTGAGTGTGTGTGTGTGTGTGTGTGTGTGAGTGAGTGAGTGAGTGTGTGTGTGTGTGTGCGTGTGAGTGAGTGTGAATTAGTGTGTGTGTGTGTGTGTGTGTGTGAGTGGAGCTCATTCCTGAGACATGATCTCTGCCAGAGCCGCTCTCATCAGTCTCACACACACACACACACACACACACACACTCTCTCGGCTCGAGCTGCTCTCCAGATGAGGAGAGGCGAATCTGAAGCTGTGGAGGAAAGCTCCAGCTTCCACACACTCAACCCATCTGATGTGTGCAGGTGATCCACTGCAGCGGTTACCTGAAGATCCGTCAGTTCGTGATGGACGTGTCTCTGTACGAGTCGTGCTATCAGATCGTGGGGCTGCTGGCGGTGGGTCAGTCTCTTCCTCCCAGCGGCTTCACCGAGATCAAACTCCACAGCAACATGTTCATGTTCCGCGCCAGTCTGGACCTCAAACTCATCTTCCTGGACAGCAGGTGAGATTCAGCTCAACCCGCATGAGAAGAGGACTCGGCCTGCACAGAATACCTGCATGACACTGAATGCACTACTGTATCCCACAATGCAATGTGCTCCGCTTGACCAGGGTTTCTGCAGGTTTTATGAAGGCAAATTTAAGGCTTTATAAGACCAAGTAAAGAAGAAGTAAAGAATAAACTGAACACAATTCGTCATTATGATCTCTTAATGTGACTGTCTTGTATTGGCAATCGGAAAATACAGCTTACGATAGATCTCCATTTCTCTTTAATTAAAAAAACCCCTTAAGGCTTCAGATTAACCACTACAGAAATAACGTACTGCACTTCTGATCACACTGCAAACAAGTGCTGTTCCTCAGTATTTCTGTCTTGCTTTCCACTTGCTTCTTCTTAAATCAAGAATCATTTACTGCAGATGCAAAAAGTCTTGTTTTCTGAGAAAATGATCAAAATGAAGTGAGTTTATGATTAAAACAAAAGCAAATATCTGTCAAGTTTCTTGAGAATTGTCCAAAGCAAAGTTTCGTAAGATCAACAGTGAATGAAAGCATTTTCTTCTTTGTGTGTCAGCGTGGCGGAGTTAACGGGTCACGAGCCGCAGGATTTGATTGAGAAGACTCTCTACCATCACGTCCACGGCTGTGACGTGTTCCACCTGCGATACGCACATCATTTACGTGAGTCACCGCATGCGCTTCATCAGATCACTGCTACTCAAGCATGTTCCTGGAGCCCCAGCAGCACAGCATGTTCTGCACAGTCTCAGGTCTGACCCAAGTCAGGTGTGTTTGATCAAGCAGACATTAGATGTGCAGTGTTTTGTTTGTACTCCAGGAACATGGTTGAGAACCACTGCTGATTCCTAGTGTTTGCACAGAAACACAGACATTAAATCAACTAGAGAACCTGGATTATTCCGTCTGTGTGTGTGTCTGTGCGTGTTTGTCTGTGCGTGTGTGTGTGTCTGTCTGTGCGTGTGTGTGTCTGTCTGTGTGTGTGTGTCTGTGCGTGTGTGTCTGTGAGTGTGTGTCTGTGAGTGTGTGTGTCTGTGAGTGTGTGTCTGAGAGTGTGTGTCTGAGAGTGTGTGTCTGAGAGTGTGTGTCTGAGAGTGTGTGTCTGAGTGTGTGTCTGTGAGTGTGTGTGTGTCTGTGAGTGTGTGGGTGTCTTTTATGTTCCACCCTTTCTGGCCCTTACAAACGTTTCATATATTTAATATGAGTTCATTAGAATCTGTTTGATGTTTAATACGTGTGTCTGTCTCTGCAGTGCTGGTCAAAGGTCAGGTGACCACTAAATATTACCGCTTCCTGTCCAAACACGGCGGCTGGGTTTGGGTGCAGAGTTACGCCACCATCGTTCACAACATCCGCTCGTCTCGTCCGCACTGCATCGTCAGCGTCAACTACGTCCTCACGTGAGTGACCTTACACCTCCCTCAGCACGTCTGTGTGTTTCAGGGTTTCTGCAGGTTTGATGAAGGTACATTTCAGACTTTAAGGGATAAATTGAAGGGAACACAATACAATAATATGCTCTCTAAAGCACAATGAGTTTTAATAGCAAAATCAAATAATGAAAATACAACTTCCAACCAATCTCCATTAATTTTTAATTCATTTTACAACTAGAACAAAAAAACTAGCTTAAGGCTTGAATATCTCTGCTCTCGTCTCAACCACTAGAATAAGAAGACTTGTTTTATGAAAAACGATCAAAATGAAGTGAGTTTATGATTAAAACAAGAACAAATATCTGCCAATGGACTCAAAAAATCAACTTAATTCAAAGGGAAACAAGTTTTTATTCCTCACTGGCAGATATTTGTTCTTGTTTTAATCATAAACTCACTTCATTCTGATAAATTTTTTAGTAAACAAGATATCTTCATTTCTCATCTCCAGTACATGATTCTTGATTTAAGGATGTTTAGATATTTGTACTGGAAAACTGAGGAAGAGATTGATTTTCTGCAGTTCATGCAACATTTAATGCCACGACTTTATGCTCTGATTTACGACCTTTTAAGACTTTAATTTGTGGAAGGGTGAATTAAGGCTTTTTAAGACCCGCAGAAACTCTGTTCACACAGAAGCTGCACACACTAATGCTGTCTTGTATCTCTGTAGGGATGTGGAATATAAAGAAATGCAGTTCTCTCAGGACCAGAGCAGATCCAGACCGTCTCTCTTCTATAAGAAATCGAGTCTCGCAGCTCCTCAGGACTCACGCAAACAGCTGAAAGCCAAAGCAGCCAAAATCAAAAGTAAACCCAAAGCGGCTCCATATCCGCAGGTAAGAGCGTTTGCAGGCTCACCCGGGAACGTGTGTGGCTTCTGACATGTTTGTAACGTCAGGCATTTCTGGTTTCCAGACCTCGCTGCATGCTGATAAACCGGAGTGTCCCTCGTGGATGTCGGGCCCCTGCAGCCTGTCATCCTGTCAGGAGCAGAGCCCCATCTCACTGACGCATGGCCCCGAGCCGTCCTACACATACACAGACACACAGGCCACCGCACGCGTCCTCTCCTCGCTGCCGTCACGGAGAGAAGTTCCCTGGAGCTGCGTTGGAGCTAATAAAGCTGCGGCACACCTGCAGACACCTGCACCCTGCAGTGCATACTCAGGTAACAACACACACACACACATATACTCACACACACACTCAAACTTCGTGCACACTCACTCTCACGCACACACACACTCTCATGCACACTCACACTCATGCACACTCACTCTCACACACACTCACACTCAACACACACTCACTCTCACACTCACGCACACGCACTCTCACACTCACTCAACACACACACTCATGCACACGCACACTCACTCTCACACTCAACAAACACACTCACTCTCACACTCAAGCACACGCACACACACACTAACACACACTCACACTCACAACACACACTCATGCACACTCGCACGCAACACACACACTCACACTCAACAAACACACTCACTCTCACACTCACGCACACGCACACACACACTCACACACACTCACACTCACAACACACACTCATGCACACTCGCACGCAACACACACACTCACACTCAACACGCACACTCACTCTCACACTCATGCGCACTCACAATCACACACACACACACACACACACACACACACACACACACACACACACACACACACACACACACACACACACACACACACACACACACACACACACACACACACACACACACACACACACACACACACACACACACACACACACACTCACGCACACTCACATTCTCATACTCACACTCACCACACACACTCTCACAATCACGCACACTCACACTCAACACACACACTCATGCACACTCAACACTCACACTCAACACACACTCACTCTCACTCACGCACACACACACTCACACTCAACACACATTCACACTCATGCACACTCACACTCAACACATACACTCACGCACACTCACACTCACTCACACTCACAACACACACTCATGCACACTCACACTCAACACACACACTCAACACACACACTCACTCACTCTCACACACACGCACACTCACAATCACACACACACATACACACGCGCACACTCACACTCAACACACACACACTCTCACGCACACTCACACTCTCATGCACACTCACTCTCACACTCACACACACACGCACTCACACTCACACTCAACACACACTCACTCTCACACTCACACACACTCACGCACACTCACACTCTCACACTCACCACACACACTCTCACAATCACGCACACTCACACTCAACACACACACTCATGCACACTCACTCTCAACACTCACACTCAACACACACTCACTGTCACACTCACGCACACACACACACTCACACACACTCACACTCACGCACTCACACTCAACACATACACTCACGCACACTCACACTCAACACACACACTCATGCACACTCACACTCTCACACTCACGCACTCTCACACTCACGCACACCCACTCATGCACACTCACACTTTCACACACACTCAAACTCACGCACACTCACGCTCACACTCAACACACACACTCAACACACACACACTCACTCTCACGCACAACTCACACACACACGCACTCACACTCACACTCAACACACACTCACTCTCACACTCACACACACTCACGCACACTCACACTCTCACACTCACCACACACACTCTCACAATCACGCACACTCACACTCAACACACACACTCATGCACACTCACTCTCAACACTCACACTCAACACACACTCACTGTCACACTCACGCACACACACACACTCACACACACTCACACTCACGCACTCACACTCAACACATACACTCACGCACACTCACACTCAACACACACACTCATGCACACTCACACTCTCACACTCACGCACTCTCACACTCACGCACACACTCATGCACACGCATCTCACGCACACTCACTCTCACAATCACACACACTCACACTCAACACACACACTCATGCACACTCACACTCAACACACACTCTCACACTCAAGCACACACACTCACACTCAACACACACACTCACACTCATGCACACTCACACTCAACACACACTCACACACTCACGCACACTCACACTCAACATACACTCACGCACACTCACACTCAACACACACACACTCATGCACACGCACACTCATGCACACGCACTCACACTCAACACACACACACTCTCATGCACACTCACACTCTCACGCACAACACTCTAACTCAACACACACACTCACACTCAACACGCACACTCACACACACACGCGCATACTCACTCATGCACACTCACACTTTCACACACACTCAAACTCACGCACACTCACGCTCACACTCAACACACACACTCAACACACACACACTCACTCTCACGCACACTCACAATCACGCACACTCAACACTCACACTCAACACACACTCACTCTCACACTCAACACACACACTCATGCACACTCACATTCTCACACTCATACTCACATTCAACACACACTCACACTCAACACACACACTCACTCTCACGCACACTCACTCACTCACGCACACTCATACTCAACACACACACGCATGCACACTCACTCTCACACGCACACTCACGCGCACACTCACACTCAACACACACTCACTCTCACACTCACACTCAACACTCGCGCACACTCACACTCACACTCAACACACACACTCACTCTCACACTCACACACACTCTCACTCTCACACTCACACTCACACACTCACTCTCACAC